TTGTTCGTTCCTAATTCCTTTTTTTGACGAAGTTGAATTGGATGCACAATTGATCACTTCCCAAACTTTTTTATAGTTATTTCCTGCTTCCATATAATTCTTAACTTGAAGAAAAAATTTTCTGCTGGCATTGATGAAATTCCTGCCACAATTCTAAAAGAATCAGTTGATATATCTAACACTTTAACGTTAATAGTAAACAACTCTGTAATGAGTGGAACATTCCCAAATGCACTAAAAATCACAAATTCGATTCCTATATTCAAAAAAGGAGATACACAGTGTGTTGAAAATTATAGGATGATTTGCCTCCTCAGCTGGTTTTCCAAAATAATGGAAACGGCAGTGTACAACCAAACAATCAACTATTTAAACAAATATAATATTATTACTACATCTCAGCATGGTTTTCGACCTAACCACTCAGTGGATTTGACTTGATTTGACACAATATATATAGGAGGACTTTTCTTTGACCTGTCGCGTGCATTCGACACCATAAAGCACGAGTATTTACCAACCAAATTAGAGGTAATAGGTATACGAGGCCCAGTTCAGCAGTGGATCCTATCATATATATCTGGGAGGACGCTTAAGGTGCAGATTGAGGACGAGTTCTCTGATAACTTTGACATTACAATTGGCACTCCCCAAGGTGGTGTCTTAGGCCCCTTGCTATTTTTGCTTTATGTGAATGATTTACCCACTCACATTAAGCATGGACAAACCTTTATCTATGCGGATGATACCACAGTTATTGTTGTGGCTGACACCGCTACTGAATTCCAAAAGNGAACACTAAATGGTATTATTGGTTTTTGCAGAAACTATCGATAAATCAGCACCTGAAGGAAACTTTTCATCTTGTTTGTAAATGGCCAAAATATTTCCATTACTTGAAGAATCTCACTACAGAGGGTTTGTTGAAAAAAAAATACAGATTTGGAACTCGATATTTATTTTGAAATCTTCAATAATTTGCATACTTACATCATTTAATATGAAACATGAAAAGTAATAAATTAACAAACTGAACAGGTAACATGAATTTATATGATCCCATTTCTCAACAGACGACATTGACTCTGAATGTCAACAGACAGAACTAAGTTACTGGTCCTTTAATGGTACATTTCCAGTACTTTTTGAACTTTCAGCTTGGTTACAATCAAGCTGGATTATACACCACTGTTTATTGTAACGTACTTGGTAGAAATTAGGAATTTGGAATGCCAGTTCCAGTGTGTCTAGAATTTGGTCAAAGTAACCTCCTCTAGCCAAGAGAACAAGACGGAAGAATCTTCTATCACCTTTAGATTCACCTACTTGAAACTGGGAAACATACCGTCTGACACAATTTTCTGAAGAGTCCCTCCTGGCTTGGTTTCTCATAATAATACTGTATCTATAATCGGATGCTTCACGGTACCTAGCGCAAAGCTCCAAGAACACTGAGAGATAGTTTCCTCCTACGTCCGCAACACCATCTGGATAAACTATCATCCTCAAACATAACCCATTGGAACAGAATAAGTTAGAATAAACAGGATCTCCTTTTTGTCGCAATTGAGAAAGGGGATGCATACCATAGGTATGAGAATCACCCTAATTTGAAGGTTTTACAGAAAGGGAGTTTGCTGGTTCTGGTACGGGAATCCTAGTTGATACTGTTTTTTTGAGTTCTGATATCATGATCTCTAGTTCAGTACTTTTAGAGATCAGTCTAGATTCAGCAGAATTTTTCATCACATTATTAATGTACTCAATTTGAACCGTTTCCTCTGCAAGGAAATCAGTTACATCCCTTAGCTTTTCAAGTGAAGCTACTTCATCTTCTAAATGTTTCAGTTTGCTCTCATACAGTTTCTTCAATGGTCTGATTGTGTGACCCGAGTGGGTGCCATTCCACAAAACACATCGATAACAAACTCCTCCTATACAAGTAACACAGTAAATTGACATGTCTTCTGAATGAGTTGAACAAACTTCTGGTCGAAATTCTTCCAGATATTTAATCATATCGTCAGCCCACAGACAAACTACAAGTTGTGGGATGTTGAGTTGAGTGTTACATTGGGGACAACGACTTCCTTTGGTGAGGATCCAGCTCTTGATGCACGAGCAACAAAAAAGCTGAGAGCAATGTGGGCATATGTTTGTTTCATATACCTTATTTTTGCAGATGAAACATTGCAAAAATTCAATTACATTTTTGATGATGTCCTGTTGTGAGCTAGATGACATTTCTGATGAATCTGATTTTGGGACTGAATACCTAAAATATATAGAATTATTTTACTGGTTCCTATGAAACATACTTCAATTTCTTGTCTTTTACCTGCTGAGCACCATTTTATTAATAGTTAAATATCCAATTCAGTTTTGGAAAATGTTTCTCAATTCTCTAAATTAGACAGTTATTGAAAATGCTTGAAAACTCTTTTGTTTGACGACAGTCATCTTTTCATATCCGAGAATATTTCCTGCAGGCTCACAACCTTACTTCAAGGAATTAATTGCCTAGGACATGATACAATTTGCACAATACAAAAGAATAATATTATACCACATAATATTCTCAGACAAAAATAAAACAGATAGTTTTCTTTAGGATGATAATTCGGGCGCGCGAGTTCCATATTCAAATTTTTTGACATGAGAGATGCGAGCAGTGTTGCCAACCGGATGAACTATAAAGTCGTACATATAAACCAAAATTCAGCTACACTTGTATATCTGACGCAATCAGTTCGCGCATGCGTTCTATTCCAAATTAAATACCACAGAGTTTGTAGTTTGTGTACCGTTCAGATACCACAAAACTGAACTGTCACTAATGTCAGGAATCAGGATCATGCTGATTTATAGCAGTTAATTTTTGAAACCTGTCATCTCTATCCAAACATTTCTTAGCTTGAAATAATGAAGAAAAGAGAATTGAAACTTTCTATGTTTTTTACCACTTTTATTTGTAACCAACGTAACAGCAGTTTCGCCCTATAAGGACATTTTCAAACTTATACATTGAACAGTTATACATTGAATCAGACATCCAATGTTGAGAAAAAGTTTGTTTTCGAGACTTTTTGTATTTTTTGAACATGTCCCGTTCCCGTAGCGGTAGTTCTTTCGCTCGAGCTACAATCAGATGGACTGTCTTCATTTTCCACTGTAATTTGTTCCATATAATTTAAAATACTCGAGACTTTCAGTTTCAAGATATTGGAGGTTTATGATATGAATGAAAATATCAAAAAATATTCTTCCTCTCTTTCATCATGTAATAGCCTCAGCTACGTATTGACTGTGGATTCAATTATTTAAGTGTCAGCTGTCAGCTTCGAATGCTGTCCACTACCTTTTCTTCCATATTTTTTCAATGTTGATTATTTGTAGAAAATTCCGCGACGTTATATTCAAATCCGCTACGCCGCTACCGCTACGGTAGCGGAATTCCGCTTCGGTTGGCAACTCTGGATGTGAGCCAAATAAACAATTATACTGTTGTTTCAGCACGGAATAATAATTCTGTGGTTTCAGTGGTGAGTTCGGAAATTCATATCATGACGTTATAAGGCAACTTGAGTCAGTAAGATTTTAGCAATAATAAGTGCGTTTTGTTGGCAGTAATCTTATTTCGGTCTGAATCAAAAATTGCACTCAGCGACAAGAAAAATCACCTTATTTGATTCAGAAAGAGGAGTTCTAGTGGAAGCTATTGTTTCAAAAGCAGATGCTGTTCGTACGGAAACAGGTGTGCAATTAGACATAACATTTTCAAAATCTACAATGTAATATATGAAAGAAATCATGTACCTAAAATGCTTATCACATTTAATAGTATATTGTACAAGTGAGAAAAACCACATATTTCCCACGAGCGCAAATCAAGCGAGTGAGAAATATGTCATTTTCTCACGCATTGTACACTGTACTTTTTCTACGGTTGTGTTGTCTTCAAGTATTGAACATTAAAATACATATATAATAATACTTGTATGTCATTAACTCATTTTTATATTTTATTTAAAGTAGTAATTAACAGTAATTCCTGGTAGGTCGTTTTGCTTCAACATGTTTTCGGTAATTGAAGTATTAGCTGATGGGGAAACGTACTGAGCTTCCACAGCCTTGTTGTGTTCAGGTTCTAATGGCGCTGGAGGCTGAATGGATTCTACTATAGTTTTTGAAATTTTCATTTTGTTAGCTATGGAGGTGTCGATGTAAGATTCAGCAACAATGCTGGATTTCCAACCCCATGGCGTTTTAAAGTTGAAAGATCTGCCCCTGCATTAACTAAAATAGTCGCAGATGACCTTCGAAAATAGTGGCCAGTATATAATTCAGGGTTCGGTAATTGCAAAAATTTCGCTATTTCTTTCGCCATGGTGCCAAATTTATTTATCTCCACAGGCTGTTTCGTACATTTGCTATTTTTGTAATTTTTAAAAAAACGTGTTTCATTTGTGCATGGTCAAAGCTTCACATATTTTTTNATACATGTGTAGATCATGCAAAGAAGTAACTTTCAGACACAAACTGAAAGGAAGTCCTCCTGAAACAGCTACTTTCATATAAACATTGAATTACACCTAAGAAAAAAAATTAGAGATATAGAGTTACTTATTTTCAAATTGATTATTTCCGTCCTTTCTTTGGAAGGTTCCCTCATCTTTTTTTGTATCAAGATGGAGTAGAAGAAATCCAAAAACTTTCTTTCTCAAAAAATATTTAGCTTTGTTTTTCACTCCATCAATAAATGTTTTGAGGTTGCACTTTTACTCAACGTATTTTACGAATAAACAAAAGTGAGCCTTCTCATTTGTTATGCATGCGTAAGTTGAAGTTTGAAAAAAAATCACTTTGGCGCTTTTGGTTCTTTCCTTTTCAATTTTTTCACTTTATGAATTTTCAGTTCTTTCAATTTTCAAAGTTTTCAATAAGAATTATTCTGCAGACAAAAGGAAATTGAACTGTGAAGTCAAAAAGAAGCTGTCAAGTTGAAGAACTAATACCTAGATCACTGTGAATTTTCAATTAAAAAACCTGAAGCGTGATGAAAAGTAGACGGTTTTGTTTTGGTTTTATTTTTTTTTACAATCAACTGAAATATAACTATCTATAAGAAATTTTCTCATTCTTTGTTCATCCATATAATCAATTTGAACAGAAAGTAAGCAATACCAAATCCAACAACGATTTTTTCTTTTTGAAGCCTGTTGATATTCTCTAATTCTAAAGTCATAACCCGTCTATTTAATTTTGCCATTTGTCTTCGTAAGTGTAACAATTCTTCGGCAGACGACAATGTTCCCTCTCCACTCACCAGAACAGGCTGGGATGATTCTTTAAATGAGTTAGGATTTGGATTGTCAAAATGAACTTTCGAATTTGGTTCGAATTCATTATCTGATCCCTCCGTATCTTCTATACCCGGAAAAGAGTATTTATCCAGCGTTAATACTCTAGGTGGCGTGGCAACTCTAGGAAGATCACGAGGGTATGGCTCAGAAGCGAGAAGACAATTGTCAAAAACTATCTCCGGTGGCGGTGCTTTAGTCCCTGCAAATTGAGAGGGATAATTAGACTTCGATATTTTTTTTTGGGTATTTTCATTATAAAATGTACAATTAACTTCCTAAAATATTTTTTTTTCGTGAGTACAATGTCAAGACTTGTGAAATACCTATGAAGTTGTTAAAAATAAATAAAATTGAGGGCGAGTGAAAAATAATTATACATAATTCGAATTGACTGCCGTGTTGGTCGGTGGTTCAAGCCTTAGTCTGAACAATCGATTTTCACTTGCTATCGTCCAACCCGTGTTAGGAATCACACGTTAAAAGGTAAGTTCTCGTTAATCCTTAGCTCGCACAAGCTTCTGAGGGTTGTCGTTCGTAGAGGTGTGATAGCTGGTTAACGAAAAAACAGATTTTAAACAGAACAAATACAGTAGAATCTCCCTAATTTCATTTCATTTCATTTTTATTTGTCTCAAGAAAATTTTACATTTTATAGACACGTCCAAACCTTAACCCAAATAACTAAAGATAGATAGAATAATTTGTAGTCCTGGGAATATAATCGAGGTTGACAATGATTGTGATATGGGATATTGAAGAATAAAAAAACATATATGATCTACATACAAGATAAAATACATTTCAAGAGATTACTAAATATGAATATACAGTGTCACCGATAAAGTCCGCATCAAATGGGAAACTTTTTTATCTATCGTTTTATGTGAAATTTGATTTTGGCAGTAGATTTTGCTTAAGAAATGATGTCAAATGGCGTCTACAAAATAGGTCACGTGATTTCCTTAACCTGTCAAAATTGACATTTAAAAAAAGAAACATCGAAAAATGACATTATTCTTCAAAATATCCAAAAATATCAAAGGATAAAAACATTTTCTTTTGTAATTTTATAC